TACTTGTTGAATGTTTGATTTCGAATTCTAAATACAGTACATTCGTTCGTGCTTATCTAGTAGCTTTTGATCCACTTACGTTATTTCTGGGATTATTAGTTCATTCTATAATTCAAATACTTCTAATTATCATATTATCTACAGTTTTGACATTTGTATTGACAATTCTGACTTTGGTGTTGGTTGCTAATTGTTTTGAAATCTAGATGTTCTTCAATTGCAACTATACTGCTCTTGCTTTTCCGATCCATGCTTTCACATCTGCATCAGATCCACCGTGTTCATCAATGATGCTGCTCAAATATGTATAGGTTTTTACATCTTCCAAATCTTCTCCGTCAATTGTGATTGGATTGTTGCATGCTGTGTTGTACTGGAGAATCTTGCTTTTCCTCTTGTGTATATTGAGACCTACTGCTGCTGAGGCTGCTGCCACACTGGTCGTCTTCTCTTGCGTTTGTGATAGAAGAGCCAGATCATCTGCGAAGTCTAGATCATCCAACTGCATCCTAGATGTCTACTGTATCCCGTGCTTCTCTTCAGATGTTGACGTTTTCATGGTCCAGTCGACCATCAGGAGAAAGAGAAAGGGTGAGAGTAAGCAACCTTGCTTGACACCGGTCTTTACTTCGAACGAGTCTGCCAATTGTCCTCTATGCACGATTTTACAGTTTAATCCACCGTAGCAGTTCCGTATGATATTGACTATCTTCTCAGGTACGCCGTAGTGTCGAAGAAGCTTCCATAGTGTTGTTCTGTCCACGCTATCAAATGTTCTCCTAGTCAATTAAGTTTATGTAGAGTGATGACTTCCATTCAATTGCTTGTTCCACAATGATCCGTAGATTCGTGATTTGGTCTGTACACGATCTATCCTTACGGAATCCTGCCTGTTGGTCTCGAAGTTGTGCGTCTACGGAGTCCTTCATCCTGTTTAACAATACCCTGTTGAAGACTTTTCCTGGTATTGAAAGAAGAGTGATTCCCCTGTAGTTGTCACAGTTACTGAGATCGCCTTTCTTTGGTATTTTGACCAGAAGTCCCTCTTTCCAGTCTTTTGGTACCTGTTCCTCATCCTAAATCTTATAGAAGAGAATGTGTAGTATCCTTTCAGTTACCGCCACGTCTGCCTTCAGTGCCTCTGCTGGAATGTTGTCTGGTCCTGCTGCTTTGCCATACTTGATTTGTCTGATGGCCATGCAGATTTCTTTAATTGTTGGTGAGTCAACATCGACTGGGCGGTTCGTGAGTGCTGCTTCGATGTCGCGTGGGATCAGTGGGACTGTTCGATTCAAGAGTTCTTTGAAGTGTTCTACCCACCTGTTTCGTTGTTCTTCAATGTTAGTGATTACCTTGCCTTCCTTGTTTTTCACTGGTCGCTCTGGTTTATGGTGATTTCCAGAGTTTCTTTGTTGTGTCATACAGTTGTCTCATGTTTCCTTCTCTTGCAGCCTTTTCCACCGTCATTGCTAAATCCTTCATGTAATTACGTTTGTCGGTTCTGATGCTCCTCTACACTTGCTTGTCTACTTCTGTGTGTTCAGCTTGTGCCTCCACTTTATCTGCTCTTGTTCGGCTGGTATTGATTGCTACCTTCTTGTTCCTCCTTTCTTGAATCTTATCCAGTGTATCAACCGTGATCCAATTCTTGTGATGGTGCTTCTTTTGGCCCAGAACCTCATGGCATTGTAGCGTGGTGTCGAGTTGAGCTTGACTATGAACACCGCTACAAGACTACGTGCCAATTAACCAATAAGATCCCCGTAGGTCAACATCAGAGGACAGATGATGGCTGTAGTCGAGATGTATTTGTTGGCGATCTCGTGGTATCGAAAGAATACCGAGATCGTTCCAAAGGAGTACAAGCGTGGTTACTGAGCGTAACCGAATTCGCACAAGTTCAAAGTCAACGGGAGAGTAAGTATAATGGCTGTCATTAGCACAGTTAAACAAACGAGCACAGTAAAACAGTCACTGGTACAATTGGTTATAATAATAATTGTTTTCATCGATCCGATCGCGTTCTGTTGACAAAAGTAGGTCACTACAGGAGCCCCCCGCTAGAAAGGGTTTACACTTTCGATAGTTAGCGGTTTGATTCGTGGGACTGATCGGCAGAATTGCGGTTGTAGGACGGAGGAAATTGGCGGAACAGGAAGTGATCATTGATCCTCGAGTTGCCAACGAAGGTCTTCTGCGCAGAACGGTACCAGGAGAAGTGTGCTGTATTTGTTGGTCGAGTTGGCGTACCACACCAGAGTGGTTTGTATCCATGATCTGATGATTGCGTTCGTATGGATGCGGACCAGAAAACGCTGCAGACGTAGGACGAAACCACGTTGAGCCAAGAAACCGGACGCGACCATAACTACCAAGCATATGCCAGGCGAATTCGAGACCAGATAATCGACTGAGTGCGTTGACTAGAGCGTGGGTGGCCAAACCAGCTTTTGCCAAAGTTGACTGAAGTCGACGTTATCAAATGAACGATGGTCGGAGGCGTGGGCTCAGGATACAAAAAAAAATCAAAAAAAAAGAAAAGTGTAGCATGCGTGTTGTATAGGAATAATCCTACACCGTATCCGTTATTGACTGTGCGGTTAGTCGCGAAAGCGTACGGGTAATCGTACTCGGCGACCGGAACGTGAGACGGTGGTCTCGTTCGTACTTCGTGAACCTGCGATCTCATCCGAGGTCAAGGGCGGCGTGGTCTGCCGATCTGGACGTGAGACGGAAGTCTCGTCCGTAGATGGTGCAGATGACGCGTGCTGTTGATCGGGACGTGAGAACGAGGTCTCTGATGTATCTAGCGTGGGATCCGAGGTAGATGTAGAGATCCCGCTAGTAGGTTTGATAGGTCTAGCATTGAGTCTCAAGTTATCGGGTAGGGCACTGTCATCGACGTGTGCTGGTTTGAGACGATCAATGCTGACGATCTCGACGCGGCCGTGTCGATCAACCTTGAAGGTCTTTTCGTGACGAGAGATCACGTGAAAAGGGCCTTCGTAAGGCTGTTGTAGAGGTTTGCGTACCGAATCTACTCGTATGAAAACATGTGAACAGGTAGATAACTCTCGAGGGAGAGCGACCTGTCGATGTTGTATTCGAGTTGACACGGAGACAGCGTTCGCATAAATGCAGACAGTCGATGGACGTAGTCTGATTTACCGAAATCATTACTGCTCCGTGGTGTGAAGAATTCCCCAAGCAGACGCAATGTCGTGCCGTATACAAGTTCAGCGGCGGAACATTGAATATCTGCCTTCAAACTCGTTCTGATGCCTAAGAGAACGAGCGGTAAGGTTTCGTACCAATTGTCGTTTTCGTGTGCTCGGAGAGCACTTTTAAGTTGGCGATGAAACCGTTCGACTAAACCATTCGATGCTGGATGGTAGGCGGTAGTGCGTATGCGTTCCGTACCAAGCAGCCGGGTCAGTGAGGAGAATAATGCGGACTCAAATTGTTGTCCTCGGTCGGTCGTGACAGTCGAGGGACAACCGTACAATGCTATCCATCGTTCTACGAAGCGGTGAGCAATTGTCTCCGCCGTGATAGACGTGATGGGAATAGCTTCGGGCCATCTTGTAAAATGGTCAATGCACGTGAGTATGTGATCATACCCATGCGATGGTGGCAATGGTCCTACAATGTCTATATGAACGTGATCAAAGCGAGCATCAGGCGTAGCGAACGTGCCAATGGGGGCAGCTACGTGCCTGTGCACTTTTGATCGTTGACACTGTAAGCATTGCTTTACCCACATACGAACATCTTTATTCATGGACGGCCAGACGTATCGTGCAGCGATGAGACGTAATGTGGCTGCGATACCTGGATGAGACAATCCATGAAGGGCATCGAAGACGAGACGGCGATATGCAGAGGGTACGATGGGTCGAGGAAGACCGGTAGAAATATCACATAGGATAGTACCTGAGCTAGTAGCTAGGGGTACTTCCTAACACTGAAGGGACGAAGATTGTGGTGCTTCTGTACAGACAGGATCGTTCGCTTGTGCAGCGGCCATAGCAGGAAGATCGAGCACCGGTAAAGTAACTGCATTCGTCTGGATACGTGAAAAAGCATCGGCAACATAGTTCGACTCGCCTTTAATGTGACGAAGGTCTGTCGTGAACTGTGAGATATAGTCCAAATGTCTGCACTCTCGTGGTGAGTAGCGGTCAGAATTGGTATGCAGGGCATACGTTAAGGGCTTATGGTCGGTGAATAAAATGAATTGACGTCCTTCTACTGCGTGCCGGAAATGTTTGATGGCGCAGTAGGCTGCAAGCAGCTCGCGACAAAAAGCGCTATATCTCGTCTCCGTGGGAGTAAGGCGTCGTGAGAAAAATTCAAGCGGTTGCTAACTACCGGAGATGTTCTGTTGCATAACGGCTCCTATGGCAAAATCCGATGCATCAACCGCTATACTAAGCGTGGCTGATGGGCCAGGATGAGCGAGAAGTGTAACTTCAGCGAGAGCCGTTTTGATCTCTGAGAATGCAGTACGTGCGGTATCGTTCAATTCTAATTTGCGTGGATTACCGCGTAGTAAATCGGTTAATGGTCGTAACCGTTCTGCCGCGTGAGGGATGAAACGTCGGTAGAAGTTAACCAAACCGAGAAAAGCCTTCAGTTCCTTGATTGAGGACGGCACGTTGTACTCCTTGATTGCTCGAATTTTGTCCTCGCAAGGCAGAATACCCTCTTGTCTGATGATGTGACCCAGAAATATTATTTCTGATTTACCCAATTCACATTTCTCTGGGTTGACTACTATTCCATTATCCGAAAGACGTTGGAATAATAGCGTAAGGTGTTGATAATGTTCATCTACATTTGATGATGCGATCAGCAGGTCATCAATATAGACGTGAACAAAATCCAAGTCTCGTACTATGCTATCGATAAACCTTTGGAAAGTTTGAGCAGCATTCCGTAATCCAAATGGCATTCGTAGGAACTCAAACAGACCGAACGGAGTCGTGATAGCAGTTTTTTCGATGTCTTCAAGAGCGACTGGGATCTGGTGATATGCTCGTACCAGATCGGTTTTAGAAAAGATAGTCGTGCCCTTGAGCGATGCCGTGATGTCGTGTATGTAGGGCACGGGGTAGCTATCAAAGCGCGTAACTACGTTTAATGCTCGGTAGTCGCCGCAAGGCCTCCAACTAACCCCATCCTTTTTGCGCACCATGTGTAAAGGAGAGGCCCAAGGACTGTGAGAAGGACGAATAATACCAGCAGATAGTAAATTGTCAAACTCACGTTTAGCGAAAGCTAATTTGTCCGGTGCCAGTCGGCGTGGTCTTGCCGTGACTGGTGGTCCGCGGGTGACTATGTGGTGTACCACACGATTGGTCACCGATGAAATCTCCTCGAGTGGTTTAGTTAATCTGGGGAATTTCTGGAATAAGGCGTGGAATTTATCGTCACGCGAATAAAAAGTGCCGAGGATTCGGTACGCGTTTGTGTGAGCTTTAAAGCCCATGAATTTGCTGTTCGACGAAGTATCGATTAGCTGCAGCCTACGTGAATCGACTAGCAACTCATAGTGCTGTAGGAAATCAATACCTAGTATGGCTGTGGGAACATCAGCAATGATGAACGTCCACAGATACCGTCGTCGGTTGCCCAGGTTGACCGCGAGTTGTCGTGTACCGTAGGTAGGAATTGCTGAGCCATTTGCAGCGCGTAGTCGAAGCATTGTAGCTTGTGACTTGATGATACCTCGTGGTACGACAGAAACTTGAGCACCTGTATCCACTAGGTACCTAGCGTTTGTGCGATAATCGGTGCACGTAAAATAAACGGCCAACCTGGGGGGCAGGGCCGACGAGTACGGCCGCTTTTACTCGCCGGCTTTGGAGTTTCCCGCCTTGTATGAGCACGGGGCTCGACAACGGCGGGCACCAGATCCGAAGGATCGATGAAACCAGCACCAACCTGCACTCGCTTCCGAAGCCGCCTTTTGGCGTGGCTTGGAAGATGCCCTCGTTGGGCGAGTGTTGACGGCTTTTCGAGAGCGTGAGCGGACTCGAGGGACGTAGGGTTGGGGTACGTTACAACGGTCTCGAAAACTAAGACGTGTGTGAATACACCCTTCCCTGTCACCTTGAGCCGAGGAGTGGCTGCCATCGATATCGACTTTCGGACGCGACGTTGAGGCAACTACGTAGTTGTCTCGGTTGTCAGTCCTAGCTAGAATTTTGTCTGCTGTGAGGGCTACCTGTTTCAGTGGTGCGTCCTCGAGCAGGGCCGTAACTGTAGGTTGGATAAATGCTGGTAGAGATTCGAGCCACAGTTCTTTAACAATTTCAGAATCGGCTGCCGTGGGTCCTGCAAGAGATTGCAGGCGCGTGAGGTGGTGGCTCGGTTTAGCATAACCCAGGGGGTGACGTGCTAATAACGTCCTCAATCGTTCCTCCCTCGATGGGAGGAAATGTCTGAGGATCGCCTCCTTGAGACGATCGTAAACATTGGGCACATTGGAATTGAGGACAACCTCACGGACAGTTACTAAATGGTCTCCCGATAAACATTCGAGAGCGTAAGTGTACTTCTGCCGTTGGCTTGTAATATGACGGGTCTCAAATTGAGACTCTATAGCAGCAAACCAAACTTCGGGATCGTGAGGAATAAAAGATACAGGTCGAAAGTGTATAACCTGTACGTCAGAGTCTATTACGTTAATATTATTCTTATCGTTATCCGTCATGTCAAATATATTATATATTAAAAATTAATATGAAAATATATGACAGACGTGGATAGATGAAACAATAGACTCACCGAATTGCCTTCTTTGAAAGATTTGACCGAAGTTGAGGCGTGTTCCAAAATTTGGCTCACCAAATGTAGCGTGGTGTCGAGTTGAGCTTGACTATGAACACCGCTACAAGACTACGTGCCAATTAACCAATAAGATCCCCGTAGGTCAACATCAGAGGACAGATGATGGCTGTAGTCGAGATGTATTTGTTGGCGATCTCGTGGTATCGAAAGAATACCGAGATCGTTCCAAAGGAGTACAAGCGTGGTTACTGAGCGTAACCGAATTCGCACAAGTTCAAAGTCAACGGGAGAGTAAGTATAATGGCTGTCATTAGCACAGTTAAACAAACGAGCACAGTAAAACAGTCACTGGTACAATTGGTTATAATAATAATTGTTTTCATCGATCCGATCGCGTTCTGTTGACAAAAGTAGGTCACTACAGCATGTTGAAGTGATTGCCTCTTATCCCTTTCCAGTTGTTGTATATTCGTAATTCTGATACAATTCATCTATATGTTCACAGTCTTTTCCAGTCTTGATGTGATAGTCGATTTGTAGCTACTAAAATACGTTCCGAACCAGTCTAGGAATTTTTATGTTACATATAGTTTTAACATTCCTTGCGTTTGGAGTCTAGTTGTTATATACTATATAACCCCTGTATTATTTCTCCTGGCATTTGAATATAATTTGATGTAACATAACTTTTACTAAAGGGAATCAGTGAGTACCTGAAGTATAGTGTGAAACTCACAGGAGCGAAAACCAATCTGAATTTTATGTCATTGCACTGTTATACACCGATATCGAAAGACTTCAGAATCCTTACGTCAATGTAAAATTAAACGTAATATTAAGTCCCTCAAAAGATATGTGCTTAGTCATATCGAATCTCTTAAACATATATTGTTGAGTTAGAAAGGAATGTTATGCAGGGATTATATGCCGTTGAAGATCTTCCTCAGAGCTTAGAGGAATAATGTATGACTTATTATCCAAAAGTGCAACGAACGAGGAAAAACAAAAAGAGAATCGATCCAATCAAAGGACTAGACAACCAGTTATTTAAATTGGATTTTCCAGACAATTGTAGCGGTATGTTTTTAACTTTCTTTCTGCTAAACTCGATAGGACTCAACTAAAAGTTTTATCACTAGGTCCTAAGTTTCATGATAGTCGCAGATATGTGGATCATTTGAAGAATGACGTTCAGTTTGAGAATCTATTTACCTAGATACGAGACTTATTGCCTACGACAATGGTCGAACATGAAAGATTCAAAACCACACTAGTTAATCGCTGCAGCAGGAAAACACAAACAGTATATTGACTGATAAACATCGTGAGGCTATCCGAAAACTAAAATTGAATGAACACATTCTTATTACTAAACCTGATAGAGGATCAGGTACGTAATTCTAAACAAGACAGATTACACAGATGAGATGAATACGATACTAAATGATCAAACTAAACTTCAAAAGCTTGAGTCATGTGAAGACGTCAATGAAAAGACCGAACATCAGCTAACTGCACCGTTTTTTAAAACAACATCAATACATCTCTGAGCAAACCTATAATAGATTCAAGCCTTCTGGAACACATACCCCTCAATTATATGACCCACCTAAGATTAATAAACCTGAGGTCCTTTATACCCAATTCTGGATATGTCAAGCTCGCCATGCCATTCAACAGCAAAATGATTAGTAAAATTATTAGAACCATTGCACCAAGTACTGGTTAAGCACAGTGTTAAAGACGTTTTAGAATTTGTGGATACAATATAAAATATGAGTATAAATGGCAAAACCATGTTATCACTAGACATAGCATCTTTGTTCACTAACATCCTCCTGACTGGGACTATCGATTACATGTGTGAATAATTGTACTCTGAATGTCTACTTTAAGTTTGACAATGGGGTTAATTCTGAACCAATCAACCTAATCTGTTACATATGCACTAAGATGGTTGAGAAAAGGAGTCACTAAACTGGTCAACAGCACTATCCTTTCTCACTTAGTAGATAGCAAACATCATATCAGAATACATAAAACTTTCTTTGTCTTACATAAAGTTCCAAAAAATCTACCTCAAGCAGCTAGATTATGGTTACTCTACTTAGCCGAAGCCATCTGGTTCAACTCCAGAAAACCAAACTTATGTGTCAAGAGAAGTTATAAACAGCCTCTATGTTTACCTTGATCTTCGACTGGATCAACTGATACGTAAACTAAATATTATAAACCTCTTACACCCTTCTTTTTAAGATCATGTCTATCTTAATTTTCACATCTATCATTCTCTTTTTTATTTATCGTAATAACCTTGATAACACCCCTCTTATTACGAATTGTGTTTGCACAACAATATTATTATTGCTATTATGATTATTATCTAACTCCGCCTGGAGTCCCTTACCGAGGGATACTGCCGGTCCCAAGCCCGGATAAAGGAGGAGGGTTGGGCATGGGGTTAGCGACCCCATCCCGTATAAAACTAACTCGCTAAAAGAACGCTAACCAGAAAAAATTATTCAAACCATTTAAACTCTGCCCTGGGAGTCAGGAGGTCTTCGTTTAGAAGAATTATGACGCCTCATGATGAAAGCCGAGTTTCTTCGGAAGTCACCCGGCCGATGCCCCTTCTGACAACCAGAGCAACCATTTATTTAGGTACATGGAATGCTCGCACAATGTGGGAGACTGGAAGAGTTTTCCAAATTGCTGCAGAAATGAGGAGATACAATTTAGAGGTGCTTGGGATCAGTGAAACACATTGGACGCAAGTTGGACAACAACGACTAGCTTCAGGGGAGCTTCTGTTATACTCCGGACATGAACAAGAAAATGCTCCACATACACAAGGAGTTGCATTGATGCTGTCCAAACAAGCACAAAATGCACTTATAGGATGGGAATCTCATGGACCAAGGATCATCAAAGCCTCCTTCAAAACAAAGAAAACGGGGATTACAATGAACGTCATCCAATGCTATGCGCCTACCAACGAATACAACGAAGACGCTAAAGATCAATTCTACGATAGGCTGCAGTCAATCGTCGAGAAGTGCCCAACAAAAGACCTGACTATTCTGATGGGAGACCTAAATGCCAAGGTTGGAATTGACAACACCGGATATGAAGAGATCATGGGACGACACGGACTGGGAGAAAGGAACGAAAATGGTGAGAGATTGGCAAATCTATGTGCCTTCAATAAACTGGTCATAGGCGGGACTATATTCCCACATAAACGCATACACAAAACCACATGGACTTCACCGGATCACAGCACACAGAACCAAATCGACCATATCTGCATCAACAAAAAGTTCAGGAGGACGATGGAGGACGTGAGAACAAAGAGAGGAGCTGATATAGCATCAGATCATCACTTGCTGGTCGCCAAGATGAAATTGAAACTCAAGAGTCACTGGACAACGGGGAGGACAATATCACAAAAATTTAATACGGCTCTTCTTCGGGATACTGACAAACTCAATAAATTCAAGATAACCCTCAGCAATAAGTTCCCGGCCTTTCATGATCTACTCAATGGAGAAGGAACTACTATGGAGAGCAACTGGAAAGAGATAAAAGAAGCAATCACTTCAACATGTCATGAGGTTCTGGGCCAAAAGAAGCACCATCACAAGGATTGGATCACGGTCGATACACTGGATAAGATTCAAGAAAGGAGGAACAAGAAAGTAGCAATCAATACCAGTCGAACAAGAGCAGAAAAAGTCAAGGCACAGGCTGAATACACAGAAGTAAACAAGCAAGTGAAAAGGAGCATCAGAACTGACAAACGGAAATATGTGGAGGATTTGGCATTGACGGCGCAAAAGGCTGCCAGAGAAGGAAACATGAGACAACTGTATGAAACAACAAAGAAACTCTCTGGAAATCACCGTAAACCAGAACGACCAGTGAAAAGCAAGGAAGGCAAGATAATCACCAACATTGAAGAACAACAAAACAGATGGGTAGAACACTTCAAAGAACTCTTGAATCGACCAGCCCCACTGAACCCACCCAACATTGAAGCAGCACTCACGGACCTCCCAATTGATGTTGGCGCACCAACAATTGAAGAGATCAGCATGGCTATCAGACAAATCAAGAGTGGCAAAGCAGCAGGACTAGACAGCATTCCAGCAGAGGCACTGAAAGCAGACGTAGCGGCAACTGCAAGGATACTCCACATTCTCTTCAGAAAGATCTGGGATGAGGAACAGGTACCAAAAGACTGGAAAGAAGGACTTCTAGTCAAAATACCAAAGAAAGGCGATCTCAGCAACTGTGACAACTACAGGGGAATCACTCTTCTTTCAATACCAGGAAAAGTCTTCAACAGGGTATTGTTAAACAGGATGAAGGACTCCGTAGACGCCCAACTTCGAGACCAACAGGCAGGATTCCGTAAGGATAGATCGTGCACAGACCAAATCGCAACTCTACGGATCATTGTGGAACAATCAATTGAATGGAATTCATCACTCTATATCAACTTCATTCACTACGAAAAAGCATTTGATAGCGTGGACAGAACAACACTATGGAAGCTTCTTCGACACTACGGCGTGCCTCAGAAGATAGTCAATATCATAGGGAATTCCTATGATGGATTAAACTGCAAAATCGTGCATAGAGGACAATTGGCAGACTCGTTCGAAGTAAAGACCGGTGTCAGACAAGGTTGCTTACTCTCACCCTTTCTCTTTCTCCTGGTGATCGACTGGATCATGAAGACATCAACATCTGAAGGGAAGCACGGGATACAGTGGATAGCTAGGATGCAATTGGATGATCTAGACTTCGCAGATGATCTGGCTCTTCTATCGCACACACAACAACAAATGCAGGAGAAGACAACCAGTGAAGCTGCAGCCTCAGCAGCAATAGGTCTCAATATACACAAAGGGAAAAGCAAGATTCTTCGATACAACACAACATGTACCAATCCAATCACAATTGACGGAGAAGCTTTGGAAGATGTAAAATCCTTTACATATTTGGGCAGTATCATCGATGAACAGGGTGGATCTGATGCAGATGTGAAGGCACGGATTGGCAAAGCAAGAGCAGCATATCTACAACTGAAGAATATCTGGAACTCAAAACAATTAGCAACCAACA